TGAAATTAAGGATAAAAAAGGATAAGTCTTCGGTATCATGAACAAAAAGCGAATCAAGAAATCACCGTCAAGCAGCTTTGCGGGGTTTTTCTAAATTGAAAACTCTGTTTCACGTTCACACATGTTCGCACAAATTTTCTCGACGAAATCTTTTGATGTATTTGCTTGTTATTTTATGTGATCGTTTACCTTTCATTCAGTTATCGCACTATATCATCTTTGTCACTCGTACTATATCACTTTTATCATGGCTTTGATTGCTTAACGACGGTGACATGTACAAGTGTAATTTACCACTTTAAAACAACCAACGTATATATATATATATATATATATCATATTGGAAATAAATAATTATCAAACTTCTGTCCTATCTATGAAATGCGTTAATAAGACAATAGAAAGTGAAATCAAATTTTATTGACATGATATGGCATATTTTTTGATGTTATCAAAATTGTAGAGAACGCTATAAAAAATTGCATCGCTCAGTTCGTATTAAAGTCAGTACGCAAAGCTAGAGATGCAAAGAAAATGCGTAAGAAGAAGAATAAGTGGTGATTAATAATACCAATAACCATAACATTAACAGTAATAATGATAATGGAGTAAATCATAAATATAATCATTCGAATGTAATGAAAACAAAATTAAATAAAGTTTACTGGGTTAGATAAAAATAATTATTATTATAATAATAGATGATATTAATACCAATACTAATATACAATAGCAATAACAATGATAATAACAAGAATAATAACAAGGATAATGTTAATAATTATGCCTGTTACAAATAGAAATCGCTCGGTAAGCTATAAATCATTATGTAATTTCATATGTATATCACAGGAAATCAATAGCAGAAGAAGAAGAGAAACAAGAAAAATGAGAAGAGGGCGTTCGTAAATCAATGTAAAGGAGTGGTTGATAATTTATGATAGTGATGATTATTTGTAGTTGCAACTGTTGTGTTTATTACGTGCTATTTAAAATTATTACGCATAATATTTGCTTAAGAAAAAGGAAGAATGAATGTACGTTTGTATGTACTGATGGAATAAAGTGTCGGTTTAAGAAAACTTTGATGATTGTGATTGAATTGAGTCGATTTTGATTGTTCGATTAGATGAAAAATGAAGAAGAATGTAGGAAAATTAATGACGAAAAGATGGAAGTGAGTGAGTGCGGAAAGAATACCTTTGGTTGGTGATGAGAGGAGGAACGAGATTGGCAAATGAGATAGAAACATAGATAGATTGATTGATAGATATGCGAATGAGAGGAGTTGAAAAAAATTCTTAAGGAATACTTCTTGAGAACGAAACCAATTCTCATGCAAATCGCTGATTCGAAAAGTTGAGAAGAAAGAAGAAAGAGCAAAAACAGCGTGAAGAAAGAGGAAGGAATATTTTGACATTTTAATATCTCCTTCATCACTTGATGTGCTTGATCGTTTGTGGCTATTTAATAATCCGAAACACTTTCATTTGGTTGCATTTGGTGGACGGGTGGACGGATGGATGGGTGGACGGTTGGATGCATGAATGAATGGAATGGATACTTATAATCGTAGTTAATGATTGCAAAATCCCGACGGTTTTCTCAATCTCGAGATCGCGATTTAGGATTCCCCTGATCCCGTGCAAACGCTAACCGTAGTCGATTACATGATACAATATGATCCCTTTGAATAAGACCGCAACAACTATGATAACCGTATTATTAAGATCATTATTATCATCAAAATTAGGTAGGTACAAATATAAGAAAAGTAAAATTAAGTAAGTATTCAATGATAAGTGATAGGACTTAGATGCGTTGATAATAAATAGTGCGAATGAAGAGGCACGTTTGTATTAAAATGATTTATTGCTCAAGTGCTGCTTCTCCTTCACTGAAGTACTCACTGAATGAATGGCAGACGACGCTTGCCTTCTTATACTTTACTTTACTTTCTTCACGTCACTTCTTGAATTGTTGTTGTTATTATCATTATTATGAATATTAGTATTATATTGATCATTGCTTCATTTCATCTACTCAAGTGTCATTGTCGGTTCATTGCTTAAGTTCATCATTTGCTTCTTTTTTTCATTCAGTTTGTTGTTTGCTCTTTTATATGTTTGTTTTGTGTCATATGTTGTGATTTCATTTCATTGTTTTATAACGTCTGCTTGTGATGACCACAACGTCAAATCAGTTCAAATCAAGTGAACTGAAACTAAACAAGGAGTGAATAGCCAGTAGCATCCAGCTGAAGAAGCGTTCCATCTTCTTCCAGCTGTCACTTACATAGTTAGATGAATGGATAAGCAAATAGCTGCAAGTACGATCGGTGATGATCAATGCCGAATACTTAGTTGCTTTACTATCGAGCAACCAACCAACCAACTCAGCTTTTTAACGATAACTGCTTAACTCTTTCAGTGAAGACTGGGTAATATATCGCATCATCAGTAAGTATCAAACTGATCGATCGATTGATTGTTCGTTTTATAGCTTAATTCATTGATTAATTTGATAAAATTCATCAAAATGCTGGAAAAGTCAAGAAACAGCAGAGTAATATTTGCTTTGTAGAAGATAAATATATACGCGCAGAGAGGATAGGTAATGATTCTCAATTAAGTACGTGTATTCGCATGAGTTGTTGAAAGATAGAGAGCTGAATGATGGATGATACTATACTATATTATATTGATATTGGAATTGGAATTATAGCAGTTGATATTTCGATGTTATGAAATTGGAGACGAAATTTCTACTTGAAAATCTATCGTGAATAAATGTCATCAACGAAAATAGGAGGTTTACATGGGTTCTCGGATGTGCGATTTTCAGCAGGTAGTAAATTATTTCTATTTCGATGTTATGTGCATACATAGTTAATTTATTTATGTACATTTATGCATGAATGTTAGCTGCCTGATTGACATCCAGTCAGCTACTTGATATGATTGTTAGAATCGGTGACAACTTCTAAACTTTTTCGATATGAACAGCACTTCAA